GCTCTCAGGCACATTTGAAGCTGATTTTGCTTGCCTCTGTAGATTTTAGCCTTTTAGCTCTTTAGCCTCAAAAACCTTGTAAATTATGTATTTCTAACATGTAACTGATTCACTCATTCTCACAAGGAAACTAAACTGTGTTCACCACCCATGACTCTATCATTGTTTTGACCATCTTTACTCTTACACCTTCCATATAGCAGTGAAGAAATTCTGTTTTTCGTTCCATTGCACTAATGGTGTGTTTTGACAATGACTATGGGAAAAGTGTCTTTAACCTTTTGTTGGTTTGTTTTTATTTTGTTTGTTTTTTTGCCAGTGATACCAAAAGCAACATAAACTAAATTAGAATTTCTTTGTTATCTGAAGAATTTAGTAGAGAAAGACTGACAGCCTTTATTAAATGTGCCAATAACCAAGTTAATTTTTGACATCCTGCCTTTTTTCAGCCTCTTTATCCTTCCGTCCATTCTTAGAGAAGTTCCTTTGCGTAAAGGAACTTTAAACAGCTCAACAGTTTTGAATGTCCGCACTAAGTGCATTGTAATGCCTGTTTAGAAAAATGCATATGTTTTATTACTCAAGCATGTATCAGTTTGTAATACTTCAGGTTCCTTGTATATGTAAATTATGACCTTCTAGTGCCAACATATCTCACTGGTATCTGAGGACATCTTTATGAATCGCAAGGCGACCAGCTGAGTCTTTGAATTCATAAAGCGCATTCCTTCTCTTCTGCCTTTCCTCCAAGACTCTGATGGTGAGTCAAGCCACTTCCCGAACACTGGGATGGCGCTCACCAGCGACGTTTCGAAGCGCAAGTTATTTAGTTTACTCAAGTCTAGCTTTGGGATGACCACCGACACGGGCTGGGAGGTTTTGCGGGGTTTCACGTTCTTTTGTCCAGATTTGTCAGTTAAGTAATATTTTCGAGAAAGGGAGAAATGATGGATGGATTATGGGTTTTCAAACTCGGCCTGGGACTTCTTGATTTTTCTTCTTTATTTTGTATCTGTACAGTCATGTCGTTCAACCACTGCAGTCATTGTTAATTCTTGTACAAGTTGTATCACTGGTTGTTGTACCATATCTGACATTTGTAATTATGAAATAATACACTGCCATTTGTATAAAAATACTTGTGTCTTGACTTATTTGATCTGTGTTTTTTGTTTTATTACTGTGAATAAAAGGCCATCGATTGGAAGAGTATAAAATGTAATGATCTAGTGCTGGGGGGAAAAAAAGTACCCCCCTTCCTCTTTTCTTATTTTTTTGCATATTTGTCACCCTTAGATGTTTCAGCATTCATCAGATTTTAATGTAAGACAAAGATAACCCAGGTAATTACAAAATCTATTTTTAAATGATTTCATTTTAAAGGCATGATGAAGCTAGGGATGGGAATTCATAAGAATTTAGCAATTCCATTATTGATATCACTTATGGATTAAAAATCCTTATCGATTCTCATTGGCTCTGCTTTGAAAGTCATCACCATCACTAAACAGCATATCTGGGGCTGTGGTCAGTATTCAATCAGCTTTAACATCACTCTGGGTTGTTGGCTATCTAAGCGTTAGAATGCTGTCTGCTGAGATGCTTGCAAAGAGCCGAAATTGTGTTAGCAGCAAAACTGAGTTTGCAGTTTGCATTTTGCCATCACGCTCCATATGTGGAAAGGTAATGCTACCCTTGCTAAATCACAGCCTTCTTAATCAGGAAATCATGTAAATAAAAACTAATCTGAAGTAGACAGAAAGATCGCAAAAAGCAACACATTGTGCTTCAATCTAAAGGAACTCAAGAACAATTAAGGAGCAAAGTCACTGACATCTGTCAGTCTGGAAAGGGTTACATAACCATTTCTAACCAAGGTGAGAGCCATTATCCACAAATGGAGAAAACTTAGAAGAGTGGTGAACATTCCCAGTAGTGATGCGACTACCAAAATTACTCCAAGAACTCATTGACAACTTATCCAGAAGGTCACCAAAAAAACCCAGAACAACATCTAAAGAACAGCAGGATTAATTTGCTTCAGCTAAGGTTAGTGTTCATGATTCAACAGTAAAAAAAGAGACTGAGCAAAAATGGCACCTATGGGAGAATTCTGAAGGGAAAACCACTGCTGACTGAAAGAACACAAAGGTTCATAAAAAGAGCATCATATCAGCAATCAAACATAGTAATAATAATAATAATAATAATACATTTTATTTATTTATAGGTGCCTTTAAAGACCCTCGGGGTCACCTTACATGAGTACAAAAAAAAAGTAAATGAAAAGTAAAAAAACAAGTATAAAAGCTAAACAAGGTAAAAAATAGACAAAGACGGAACCACGATGAAGGGTATGCAATTTTGAATAGATGGGTTTTAAAGTGAAGAGAGAGTTTGTAGGTCAGAGAGCTGGTGGAAGTGCATTCCAATGTCTTGGGGCAGAACAGCTAAAAGCTCTGAGCTCCATGGAAGTCAGGCAAGCAGGTGGAACAGGTAGAAGGGAAGCTGAAGAAGAGTGGAGTGTACAAGGGGGTGAGTACATATGGAGAAGATTAGATAAATATAGTTGAGCAAGTTTATGAGGCGCTTTGAAAGTAAGAAGCAGGATCTTAAGATTGACACAAGATTGAGCCAATGGAGCTGTTTAAGAATAGGTGTTATATGTTTAGTAGATCTAGTTCGGAATATAATACAAGCAGCTGTATTTTGAACTAACTGCAATTTATGGAGAGCTTTATGAGGCAGACCATAGAGAATCAGAACCAGAATACTTTATTGATCCTTAGGGGAAATTTTTTTGGTTACAGTGCTCCAGTATAAACAGTAACAAAGACAGACAATACAATACATAATAAATGCAAAAACATTTATTATGATGATGTGGGAACAACACCGACACGAGGATATCAGATCAACTATTGCGGTATACAGTGTGTTAAGTGGAGGAGTTGTACAGAGAGATGGCCACAGGCAGAAATGATTTGTTCTGTGTCGTTCAGTGGTGCTTTTTGGTAATCTCAGTCTCTCACTGAACGTGCTCCTGTGACTGACCAGCATGTCATGGAGTGGGTGGGAGGTATTATCCAACATTGTCTTTATTTTGGACAACATCCGCCTCTCCGACACCACCTTAAGGGAGTCCAGCTCCATCCCCATAACATTACTGGCCTTACGGATCAGTTTATTGAGTCTGTTGGCATCTGCGACCCTCAGCCTGCTCCTCCAGCATGCAACGGCGTAGAGAATTGCACTGGCCACAACAGACTCGTAGAAAATCCTTAGCATTATCCGGCAGATGTTGAAGGACCTCAGTCGCCTCAAAAAATAGAGATGACTCTGGCCCTTTCTGTAAAGTGTTGTGGTGTTTTTAGCCCAGTCCAGTTTATTGTCAATTTATACTCCGAGGTATTTATAGTCATCCACAATGTCAACGCTGACCCCCTGGATTGAAACAGGGGTCAAGTGTTTCCTGGTCTTCCTGAAGTTCACGATCACTTCCTTGGTCTTTGCCATGTTGAGCAGAAGATGATTCTGCTCACACCACGTGACAAAGGAGTCGACCACAGCCCAGTACTCTGTCTCATCATCCCTGCTGATGCACCCAACCACTGCAGAGTCATCAGAAAACTTCGGAATATGGCACGTCTCTGTGCAGTGGCTGAAGTCTGTGGTGTAGAGGGTGAAGAGGAAGTGGGAGAGGACAGTCCCTTGTGGTGCCTCTGTGTTGCTGATTACTTTGTCAGACACACACTTACAGTAATCTAAATGAGATGGAACAAAAGCATTGACAAGTATGGCGGTACTGTTTGGAGTGATCGAAGGACGAAGGCGGTTAATATAATGAAGATGAAAATAAGAAGACTGAGTGATATTATTTATATGTGCCGTGAAGGAAAGAGTGCTGTCGAGGATGACACCAAGACTCTTAACCAGAGGGGAAGGTGTGCCAACACAGTTATCACTGGATAATGAAAGACTTCTGGTTGGAACTTTAGTCAGTTTTGATTTGGTGCCTATTAGAATAAATTCTAAAGTAGTGGTAGTATGATGGTCTGGGCCTGCTTTGCTACTTCAGGACCTGGGCAACTTATCGTAATTGATGGAATCATGAACTCTGCTCTCTACAAGACAATCCTGAATTAGAGAATCTGGCCACTAACTCAAACCCTGAAAGTCAAGCACACTTAGGTCAACATCAACAAGTCCACATCTAGAAAAAAAAAGTTTTGGACAGTCTAGTCAAAGTCTGGACTCAAATCCAATTGAAATGCTTTGGCATGACCTTAAGCAGGTCGCTCACGCTAAAAAACAAAACAAAACAAAACAAAACAAAACAAAAAACCCTTCAATGTGGCTGAATTAAAACAATTCTGCAAAGAAAAGTGGGCCATAATTCCTCCATAGCACTGTTAAAGACGCATTAGCAGTTATCCCAATAAATGCTTGACTGTAGTTGATGCGGCCAAAGGAGGCACAACCAGTTATTAGGTTTAGGGAGCAGGTAGATTTGGGTGGCTTTTCCTCCCTTAATAAATGAAATAATCATTTAAACAGCATTTTGTATTCATTTGGGTTATGTTTGTCTAATATTGTAATTACTTTGATCTGAAAAAAATAATAATAATAAAAAAGAAACGAAATCCTTAAAGTTTATGCCGTCAGACCTACCTTTGCTCTATTCATTACCTGCGTCTTCCAATTTGTCAGAGATCATAGCACTAACAAATGAATAAATGATCGAATAATTGTGTCAGGAGGGGCTGGTTTCTGTGCACTTGTTTTTCCTTCCTACGCTCTCGTATCAGTTGACACCCACTGTTATCAGCGCACACACTAAAGTTAATACTTGTAAATTACACTTGAACAAATCTGTCCTGCACTCCAGATTTCAGCGGTCTCGTGACTGCAACAATAACAACAAAAGAAAAAAATCACAGCGTCGTATTGGTTCTTTCTAAAGCCACTCAACAAAAATCCGGACTCTGATTGGCTGCTGACGTTGCACCCTTCCCCTCTCAGTAAAGCTGTCACAGAAGCTACTTCCTGGTGTGATTGGTGGGAAAACGCAATGCTGCATCAAAGATGGCTTATTATCAACCTGCATTTGATTTATTTAGGAATAGTAGTGTGAAAGAATAAGTGGCGCTCTGTGAGAAGACAAGGCGGGGAGCTGGTGGTAGCTGTAGCGAGCAGTGTTAGCACTCTCGCCGCACTACGCACCTCTTGCTCTCTACGTGCGCAAACGTTAACTTGCCTCTACTCTGCTAGCTAGTTAGCTCACATAGTAAATATTAGCTCGTCAAGCAAGCTTGCTTATTGTAGATTGCTAAAATGGCCACCATGGAGAAATTGATGAAGGCCTTTGAGTCTCTGAAGTCATTCCAGCAGCAGCAGGGACCACCGACCGCCGAGGAGCTCGCTCAGAGGCAGTAAGTTGATTTTTGTCCAGCGGTGACAGAGCGGAGGCGAGGAGCCGTTAGGCTAGACCCTTAGCTTATCGTGCTAGCAGCGTTAGTCCATTTTGGGTAGATAACGAACGTTTAATAGATGGCTTTAAGTCAGCTGCACTAAAACGTAAACTGGAAATTAGGCTAAGGTGTTATTCATACTTCTCAGCCCATTTAGGTCCACTTGTTGCCATGCTTTAGATCGCTGCTTAGCGATGCTCGCTATCCTAACGCGATCTGATTGTTTGCTAGCCTGATTTTAGGATCAGAACAGCTGAATGATGGCTAACACAGAAGGCTGGTGCCAAGAACACGTGAAAGGGTCAGGAGGATCAATTTCAAGGACGTAATTTTGTGTATTCAGTAGCAGAGGATGTTGAGTTTCATAATAATATTTAAACTGCTTATGCAAATGGTTATGAATGGAATGATCAACATAGAGGGGCTTCCTGCACTTGCGTCATCTCCAAGAAGTTTTACAGATCTAGTCCGTTGTTGGTTGAAACACAGGGATAGGAATTCATTTATATAGCTTGTAAAGAAATGAATTGATGGGATCAGTGCATAAGGAATACAGTTTTAGGGGATGGCTCTGACTTATAGTTATTATTTTAATCACTGCATTCCTTGGCTATGAGCAAGATACCTAAATTCAGTCTTTCTTTGTGCACACACGCACACACACACACACACACACACACACACACACACACACACACACACTCATCTTTTGCATTTTGTCTTATCTTCCACAGAAAAAAGGAGCAAGCTGCCACAAAGAAGGACAGGGTGACCCACTGTCTGACAATATGTGAAAACATTGTGGCTCAGTCACTGAGGTATTCCTTGTTATTTGATCTAAATATGTGTTGGTGTGAGTCATATCTTTTTAAATTCTTTTAGGGTTTCCTATCACCTTCACTGACTGTATAAACGGTAAGATAGCTTTTCTGTAAAGAATGTCTGAGGTACAGGGTGATGTCATTTGCAACCAGAGCGTCTTCAGTAGTGATTTTACACCTGATTTCACTGATTTCTGTGATATTTGGTTTCACTTTTGTATTTTGGGAATGAAGTGGGGACATGTTCATCTTTACATATAATTTCTTTTCTTTTCTGTAATGTCTTTTTTGAAAAAAAATTATTGCTTCTCAGTTTTGTGAGTTTATGCTAGGGGGTTAACAGTTTGAGAAAGGGGAAACAATTAATATATTTTTGGCTTTTCCTCTCTCTGGTCCTGGGAATAGAACATCTCCAGAGTTTCAGAAACTGCTTGGCATCGCCATGGAGATGTTCCTGCTCTGCAGCGATGACAGTGAATCAGATGTTCGGATGGTAGCCGATGAGTGCCTGAACAAAATAATCAAAGTGAGCAAAATCTGCAAGATGGGGAAAAATGAATAAGAATATTAATGACAAAAATTGTCAAAATAAGTTTGGTGTTGTTGGTGGTAGTGTTAATCATTTATTTTGATAATTTTCAGGCACTGATGGACTCCAACTTGCCTAGACTGCAGCTGGAGTTGTACAAAGAAATTAAAAAGGTAAGGCATGGGGTTGTAAAGTGAGCATTTTTTAATACACCTTATATGTCTTTACTCTCAGACTATAGGCCAGGTTTAGATGTGAAAAGAAATTGTTTGACGTTTCTTTAGAGAAAGTACGGTTAGATATTAGACATGGTAATATCATTGCTTGTGTGGCTCAATAGAATGGTGCCTCTCGGAGTCTGAGGGCAGCTTTATGGAGGTTTGCTGAGCTTGCCCACCTCATCAGACCGCAGAAATGCAGGTATGCAAACTTATAATATTTTTTAAACCCTTATCCACAACATGTCTTATTTTATAGTCTGCTGCTTTTGTGGGAACTACATCAAAGTATCATCTGTGCTTTTTTTTACTTGCATATGTATATTTTTGTTTTGCTTTTACTTCATGTATACTTCTTCTCTCTCCCTTATGGCGCAGACCTTACCTGGTCAACCTGTTGCCGTGCCTCACCAGAATCACAAAGCGGCAGGAAGAGACTGTGCAGGAGACACTTGCTACAGCAATGCCCAAGATCATGTCTGCCCTGGGACACTTTGCCAATGATGGTGAAATCAAGGTATTCACCTGCTGATTGTGTGCTAAAGTAGAAAAAACATCATAGGCCAGTGGAAACTTTTTTTTTTTTTAACATCATCCAACTATTTCTGTTTTAGGTGCTGCTGAAGGCATTTGTGGCTAATCTGAAGTCCAGCTCCCCGACCATTAGACGGACAGCAGCCAGTTCTGCTGTTAGTATTTGCCAGCACTCCAGACGCACCAGCTACTTCTACACCTGGCTCCTTAATGTGCTTCTGGGTAGGTCGCACACAGGCTCACTGTCAAGCACAGACTGTGGACATGTCTTTTCTACCCTTTTACATTTTACTAAGCTCATTTATGTTAACATATGTGAGCAATTTAGAAATTTTGCCCTTTTTTTTGCCTTTTTCCAGGTCTGTTGGTTCCGGTGGATGATGAACACCCCAGCCATCTAATACTGGGGGTGCTGCTAACCCTTCGTTACCTGATGCCTCTGCTGCAGCAGCATGTCAACTCCACTAGTCTTAAAGGAAGCTTTGGTGTCATGAGAAAGGAAGCTGATGTACAGCCAACACCCGAACAACTGCTGCAGGTGAGATGGAATTTCTGTGTGTGTATATATGAAAAAAGAAGAAAAAAGAGTTTGTATACACTTGTATAACTGGATGTGTAATAATTCTGTATGCATGTCTTTTAAAGGTGTATGAGCTAACCCTACACTACACACAGCACTGGGATCACAATGTGGTCACAGCTGCTCTGGAGCTGCTGCAGCAGGTCTTCAGGACTCCCCCACCAGAGCTTCTGCACATGCTCATTACTGCTGGTAGCATCCCACATGCCACCGTTTTTCGTCAGGACACTGAGAACCGCTCACGTTCTGGCAGCATCCTTGAATTCATTGGTAATCACATGAATTGACGAATACTATCTAAACAGTGCTTTTTATTATCCCTTTAGATATGTGCCTAGAAATATTTACACAGTTAACCAGCTCTAGAGACACGGTTTTTATCTGTTTCAACTAGTTTATAATTCATTCACTTATGCTGACCTTGCCAGGGGACCGCATGGACAAACTGTGTTGGGGTTCCACTCTAGCCTCTTCTTTTGTTCGTGGCCTTTTTCTTTGCGTTTTAACTAATTTTTTGACATCCTTAAATAATAGTTTCTGTTTCTTATAAGCTTCTCTGAGCCTGTACTACTTTCCTGCTCCTCAACTTCTATTTCTGCTTCCTGTTTTCATGCCTTTTGCAGCGGGGGGAGGGTCTTCCTGCAGTCCACTCCTTCTCAGGAAACAGAGAGGTGACTAGTCTGTTTATCTCCTCTGTTCACCTCTTTCCTCTCTCAGATGTGCCAATGAGGGCTTGAACAAGTTTACCTTCAACTGTGAGGCACTAAAGGCCGTGGACTTGCCTAAAATTACATATTATTATCCCTGTATATCTAAATTTTATTCTTGTACTCAATTTAAAGTAAATCACCACACTTAGGTTTGAGTGCCTTTCCTTTTTTCTAAACTGCTGTTAATCTTACAGATTCATATTGACAATAAACCTGTTATTTCTAGGTAAAATGCTCTCTGGAGAGGAGGATGGGTTGGAGGATGACCCTGAGAGGACTGAGGTCACTACTGGTGCTTTCACAGGTGAGATACAAACACCAGCAAGCAAATTGTCAAGTTTATGTCAACTTTGACTGTGTTCCTAATTTCACAGTGTGTAAGTATGTGGAGCAAAAATAAAGCTTCTGTGTGTTTCTTACTTTAGCATCAGTTGTTGGTGCAGACGGCTCCTCTGCAGCCCAGGTGGACATCATCACTGAACAGCCTCGGTCTTCCCAGCATGCTCTGCAGCCTGGTGATTCTGTGGACCTCAGTGCCTCCTCAGAACAGGGTGGTGGCGGAGGTGGGACATCTACATCAGGCACTCCAGAGTCGCCCAATGACAACGAGGAGGAAATGCTGAGTCGGAGCTCCAGTGGTGGAGCAAATGTTACCCCAGAGACTGCTGACTACACCACCCCAGAGAATGCGACTCCAGAGGGAGGGCCTCTAGGAGAAAGTGGGACACTGCTAGGCACTAATGATCGCTCACTTCCACCCAGCGACTCCTCCCAAACCACCACAGAGGGACCGGACTCAGCTGTCACCCCTTCGGATGTAGCAGAACTGGTAAGTTGACTGGGTAGGACTGCACATGGCTAATTTTATTTGAGACTACAGCTTGTACATCCAGTAATTGTGTGGGTTTCTGTTGAATACAATGAACAGTGTGCTTCCCTAGACAATGATGGATTTAATTACCATGCAATCCATTAATTACCTCTGAACCTTTATGTCTCTGATGGCATTTTTCTTGGTTTGAAAATGATGCTTCACTTCCCAGAACGTTGATTCTGTTGATCTAGATGTAGTTTACTGAGTCACTTGGATGATTGACAAAACCTCTATCCCACTGAAAACATCTTATTTTCTTCAACATTAGTGGAATATTGGTAATATTGGTGATTACACAACTTTATTATCCCCCTTGATTTCCTGAAGACTTGTGGTAGATGGTGTTCCTCTCTTCACCACCACTACCACTGAGTTCTTCAGAGGTGGGAATGCTCCTGTAATATTCTATAACAATCCATGAGATTGTTATGAACTGGTGCTAAAAATAACATTACATTTAAAATGAATTAAATTGATTGTAAAAGATTTTGGGGTCAAATATATATCTTTGTCCCTGAGAATAAATATTTCTTCCAGTAGTGATATTGAATAGCATATTAACAGGAAGTGATTACAAAACAACTTCCTTTACACTAGCATTTCTTTCTGAAGACTTTTTAAAAGATAAAAAGCAGCTTTTATCAGTTTTTATCCTTAAATCTTTTGTGCAGGAAAAAAGGAACATGAAATCCTTAAGTGTTCAACCATAATGCTAACATTAATAAGTCACAATCTGGTTAAGTGATTATGTATGAACCCTGCTTACAAACTACCCTGCGTTTATTAAGGCTGTTGTCTTTTTATGGTGTTTCAATGCTTTGAATCTTCTTAAATGTAATCTGAAGAAGCCCCTAAAAATAGTCAGTGATCACTTTCGGCTTCTCTGGATTTTTATTGCTAGTGTTCATCTGCAGCACGTTTTAAAGCTCAGTTTTTAAAACCTTGCGATGTAACTACAGCCTATTGGCTCACGATTTTCTGGACACCAAATATTTGAATCAGGTCACCCTGAGGCTAATAAAAATTTGAACAGGTACATGAAGCTGAGGATGAGGAATTTGTCACAGCAAGTAATCCAAACCATGCAGCAGTATATTAATGACTTACCTCGTGATGGATCATCACTTCTGACTGAAGTTTGGTTCGCTTTCAGCATCTTTTCCTGCCTTGCGATTGCATTTGTCTCTGCCCATCCCTGAACCTCACGTTAACATTTACTGAGGGAGAAAAAGACAGCGTCTATCCTTCAGCTTCACTATGCTAATGTGTTTCTATATTACCCTAACCATAGCTCTGTAGCTAGCCACAACGTAGCACATTATTATATACCAGCTAGTCCAACTTCAGTAACCCTACAAACGTCGCGGCTGTTCAGTTTTCTGTCTTCATTCATGTCTGACGTGATAGCAGAGCTGTGCGTTTTTTAGTTTTTCAGAAATCCCTCAGTCAGAACATTGTACATTATCTTCAGATGGAAACCAACGAGCTAACTCCCAGCCTACTTCTAACTCTGTTAAACTTCAGAAATTCTGTTTTTTCATGAATGCCTGGATGTTAAACCGGTAGAGCAGCCACACTGATCATTTTATTAAAGATGAAAGGATTTAGACAGTTTCTAACTCTCAATGATGCCCCAGTGTTTTTTTTGAGTTTGGGAACTGAAGAGGAATTTGGACCTGGAAACAACTAATGATGTCAGACTGAGAAGCGGATAAGTCTTATTTCCCCCTGTTATGCTTTTGGAAGCAGTTGGACTTGTTTTCTATGTCATTACTTTTTTGTCTTTTTATTATGCTCCTAATCATGACACAGTAATTTTGACTGTTGGACTTGGTTGTGGATTAAGTTCACGGTCTGTTTCTCCTGTTAGGATTATTTTGGGGGATGCTTTTTCACTCTTCTGAAACCGTTTTTTCTTATCAGCAGCAAAACATGTTCCTAAGGTTAAAAAAATCACGAGCATCATTCCTAGATGATGCATTCAGGACTTGAAACAATAAAGGCTGCATATGCATAATGCAATACTTTCTTTAAAATCTAGTACATATAAAAACAAAGCAAAATAAAAACAAAAAAAACCTTCTATCTTAGATTTTTAACTCTGTCATCCACTCATTTAATAAAACTAACTCTTTCAAATGTTACTTAAGAAAAAGTTTAATTTGCAGATTTTTGCTGCTGTACCTGGAGTGTCAGGTTAATCTGCCTTTCTGGCCCCAACTACAGAACTTTTGTTACATAATAATTCTACCTCTGTGGTCTTGCCCCCCCTTTCCTATATCCTTCGTACCAGTCACTTCGTACCAGTCACACTTCATTGCCACGGGTGATTGAGCCTTCCCCACCCTCGCCAGCTTCCACTGAGGGTCCCGATGCCGCAGACAGCGACTCATCTGTCTACACTGCCTCCTCTTCGTCTTCTTCATTTTCTTTCACCTCCTCTTCCTCCTTCTATGCCACCACCTCCTCCTCTAGCAGTAGTGACAAGGTCAGCCTGCAGGACACAGTGAACAGACTGGGATGGGCTTGCTTGTTTCAATACATTTGGCTTTCTTCATTCTTTCTCCTTTGGTTGGCTCAACCCATGCAAAGACTTTTCCTAGCTTGTTGCCTCTTTTCCCCTCCTGTTGTCACCGACAGTAGATTATGCACCTTTCTTTCCCCCCTCATTTTGAGGTATTCCCTCCTGAAAATCAGATGCGTTTTGATAAAAGCAAGCAGCTTTGACATCCCGTGTGACTGGCCTGGAGTGAAGTTCAAAAGGAGAGGCATGAAGGCCAACTGTTTTCTTTTTTTGTTGTTGTTGTAATTCTTCAGATTTGGTTCTCTCTACCATTTGAAGAGGCTGTGACGGGCTTTTGTTCCAGCCAAACTTGGAGAATAAGACAATATTCACATTTTCCTCTCTCTTCTTTTTTATTGTACCATTAAATTGGTTTATCTTGCGAGGGAGAGTTGTTCTTACCAAGCTGCTTTACTGTCAGAAGTCATGCAAACCAAAACCAAGAGAATAACATGCACTTTAGAAGAGCTGTAGTTCTGCTTAATAAAAGATATTGTTAGCATTTCAGGGTCAGGTTGGAGCAAAAGCTTGGTCTTCCTCTGGATTGTTGACTTTTTAAGCTTGTGCTTTTTCCTGTATGCAGTTGATTTGCTGTGAATTGTGTTGACCCAAGCATGATTCAGTAGACCTGTTTAATGGGGGAATTTCTTTTAATTTAATTTGTAGTTTTAGTCATTTGTTATGTTTTTCCTCTGTCCAGTAACTAACTCGGTGAGTCGAAACTATTAGGTATCATGTGCATGCAGTTACATTTCAAACTTCTGCAAACTGCCAGTTCTAATACATTTATGAATTTGAGTTTTCCCTTCTGAAGATGGTTTCTTTTTAATTTATTTGTGTGTGTGTGTGTTTGTGTGTGCATAAGGTACTGGATGGCAGTGAGAGTCAGTACTCTGGAATGCAGATTGGAACACTACAGGATGAAGAAGATGAAGGAACAGCACCTTCCTCCCAAGAAGAACCCCAAGAACCATTCCTGCAGTCAGCACTTGGTGTGTTTGTGTACACAGCTATGCACACATAAGCGCAGATGGGTTCTGCCTAATAGAAAGCTTTAATGGTGGTTATTGTTTCTGTGTATAGCTCTTAGCAAGCCTCATCTCTTCGACGGCCGCGGTCACAACCGGCAGGGTTCAGACAGCAGCGTGGACCGTTTCATACCAAAGGATGAACCTGCTGAACCCGAGCCCGATAATAAGGTAAAGTGACTTAAAACTCTCCGTGCTTGTCATATATGGTTGAAGTGAAAGGTTAACATTATGTCACTTGTCTGCTTTTCTGTCAGCCATCACGCATAAAAGGTCCAATTGGGCACTATACAGACCAGAGTGCGGAGCCACTAGTGCACTGTGTCCGGCTTCTTGCTGCTTCCTTCCTACTAACAGGACAAAAAAATGGTGAGTGGGTGTTCTGCTCAATACCAAATGTTTTTTCGTTTTGAAACTGAAAATTTGACTCCTTGATCTGATTGTCAAAATATATCTAACAGCAAAGTACAACTTCTACTCTCAGCCCTCTCGGCGTTGTGCTTGTTCCTGTGACTTTTTGACATCTGTGTGTGTTATTATTTGCTTTGTGTTTCTTCAGGCTTGATTCCTGACAAAGAGGTGCGAGTAAGTGTGAAAGCCTTGGCTCTCAGCTGTGTTGGAGCAGCGGCAGCGCTGCATCCCGAAGCCTTCTTTAAC